CCCATGTTTTTTTTTTATTTGAGCTAACAAGATCATCGTTATCCGTACAGCAAGCACACTTGAATCCAGCGCAAAGCACACATTATTACACTGTTTACAACCACAGCTGTCGGTGGACCCGCTACCTAACGTTACACAGCGAGCCTAAGCGCTAATGATCGCCTCCAGAAGCAGTTAGCAGGCTGTCAGTGTGTTAGCTTCGTGTGTTAGCCACAGACAGCTCAGCTCTGCTCTGCTGTTTACGACGCCAGTCAGGTTAGTGTGCACTGTTGTGGACAGTAGCTTCGAGGTAATTCAACAACGCCGAACGGATTACTAACCACCGAGTACAAAACATCCACGACATACAAAGCAGACACACCTGAAAGTCGGCCAGAATCATTTCTCTATCCATGTTGCTATCGCCGCTTTCGGAGGCCATGGCAATGACTGGCTAAAAGCAATTCTTCTTCCACTGGCTCTCGTCGCTTTCTCGCCTCACAGAGGGACACTGGGTATTAAATAAAAACACTTTGCTTGGACGTGGCGACGAGTGAGAGGTTGGCAAACTGGAAATATCAAACTTTATCGGGATTTAACAGCTTCAGACTGAGAAATCTCTGTAAAGTACCGTTACAGTGTTCAGTTATCTCATATCATTATTGTCATCTAGTCCATTGCTTTACGGCTGACGTAAAGCGGCTGCAGCAGTTGTAAACCCGAGCCGGGTTACGTGAGGCTTATTTGTCATATTAAAAGACCACATCAGATCAGACCACATTTATATTCCACATACATCGATATGCTGTTTCACTCTTTGCTTAAACGCCAGGTTTCTAGTAATCTTGTGTTGGACTCAATTTGTGCATTCACAGTGGATAGTATCTGTATACTGATAGGTGACAATACATGTATTTAATCTTCTGTGTGAGCCAGGGCTTTCCACATGCTTTCACGCCGTTGCAGCCCTAACTGTTGCAAGATGTAGCTGTGGAGGTCAGAGTAATTTCCCTGTAGTCCTCCTCACCTCACTCTTGAGAACCACTGACCCAGTGCTGCAGCCGGCCAGCAGGCAGAGGGCAGTCATATATATAAGATATTGGGCATTGGCAGATAGAGGGCAAGATCATATAGGCCGAGAGTCAATGCAAGCAGAGTGATGGCACAGTTACTTATAGATTGGCCATGAACATGCTAAATCGCATGTCTTTTGCGGATGGATTTGTATCATTTTCAGAATTGCATATGTTCAAACAGATAATAATAATATTAATAATAATAATAATAATAGGCCTACGGGCAAGTTAGAAAAAGTTTGATTTTCCCACAGCAGACACCAGTAATGCCAAACTGCAAGAGGAGATACCAGTTCCCTTCAATTATGAATGCGAATGGCGACACATGTCTGTTTGTCCTTGACTGGACAGAGCTCAGGTCGTCCCCCCTGGCACAGTAAAAGCGCAAAAACAACCAACGTTTCTGTGTTTACGCACAGCCATGCGTGCGTACCACAACACATTTCCAATCATATGACCTCATTTGACCTCATTTGACCTTATTATTCCTTCCCCGCATTGCTATACAGTGCATTACACTACATCTAATAAAAGTCTGTCTATGCTTAATGTAGAAATCATGTCAAAGTGCACATATCCTCATGGGCGCTCTACTAGTTTCTGTGTGAAAAGTAAATCACTTCACATCCGACCTCACGCACACTAGGACCCAAACCAAGGCTTTCGGGGCAATATGAAATCCCATCACTAGAGAGCGGCATGGTGCAAGGAAAAAAAGATGGCGCCGATGATACTACAAAAAGCGTCTTTCTCTTTCACTGGAAATTAAAGATGAAGAAGGAGACTCTGATCGTATCCGTTATGCAACAATGTGACTGTTTTTCTCTAGAAGAACATCTCTATAGGTCAGCGATGAATTCAGGCACTGTTTATCAACGCTGTGTTGTGCAGCATCATGGTTTCTCTTTTGACACTCCGCCTATCATTGAGCTCTCATCCAATCACGTCATCTGATATTTTTTGGTAAGACTTTCAAAATAGTTCAGTCGGTTGAGCTGTAAGGGCAAACATCCTGCCTTCTGCAGCTCAATCCACACTTCAAATGAACCACCGTCTGCTCTGTGATGACAGTGGGGTTGTTTCACCAGGAGCTTTACTGTGTTTTGGACATTTATCCTGTATGCCAAAGTTTGAGGGAGTCCAGCCGGGCATCGTTGTGACAGCGGCTCATGGAGGATCATCGTGATCATCTTTAGGTTAGGTTTTTTTGGAAATGAAATGAACCTGGTGCTGACTGTGCGACCTCCAGGCGGATCGGCGCTCGTCTCTCATTTTGGCAAAATCATTTGAAAAATAGGCGGGAAGTAACTGTGGATGGCATCATATTTTTTGAAAAATATCACTGTATTTATTTTGTTGCTTTTTGCTTGCTTTTTTCAGCGCTGGACTCGGTAGGATTTCACATGGAGGAAGCTTCCAAGGAGGACGGCTCGCGTTATGGTTTTAATATCATTTAAAGTAAGGTGTTTCCCCCCCCCCCCACCCCCCCTAAT